CCGAAAAGCAAACACTAACATCAAGAATTAAATCACAACAGGAAGCCAATAAGAAGTGCAAAACAATGAAAATTCTTTGGCTGGGAATTCCGGTAACTTGCTGTTGAAAGTCTTTCATTAGGGGATTTAGCGATACACACCCCGACAACAAACAATGTCAATAACTAAGTAACTCACTTTTGGATCATACCGTTTAAAACAGTCCAGATCTAATCCGTCTGGCTGCTTCACTCCTGGAGTAATCGCTCGTACAAAATCATCCGGAGTCATGTAAATTGTTTCACCATCCTCGTCCACCACTTTCAATGTAGCGAAATAGCGAAATATTTTATCCGGTGTGGAATACGCACGAATGCGGTCTTCATAGGCGATAAACTAGCGATAACATAATGGAGCATAAGTATTGAAAATTAGAACAAAACTTGTTTATAAGGACTTCGATCACAGTAATTTGTAATAATCGATAGAAAAAGATGCCTGTGAATAAATGAAAAGCCTCAATATCACTGTTTGGAGATTCGTGATTAAAAATGAGAATTACAAGTTTCGTCGTTAGGTACCGGAGATTAATGTAGATGAATGAAAAAATCAGTTCAGTAATCATTTTACAATAAACTTAATGAAGACCACGTATCATCACTTGGAGAATGAAGTGCAGAAGCCATTTACAGAGAAACGCCAGCTAAATGGAATAAACACAAGGAAAATTCATCGGTATCCAGCTCAATACAGAACAATTTTAATTATAGGCAGTGAAAGAATACGACCGTCAGGGCACATTTGAGGCTAGTTATATATATAATACAGAACCAGTGACTTTGGGGGGCGGGTCACACATTGCCAAAGATGTAGAATACAGTGATAATATCGTATTATTAATTCCACCAGTGCACTACAAAGTTGGTTCATTGTTTCTGTCGTCCTGGTACGCTCCGCTGCTTAGGTACGGTTTTGACTGGGTGTTGGCCATGTAATTGATCAGTGATCCTCATCGATCAAATGATTAAACATCATTTACTTTGATACGAGTTGATTGGTCATGGTAGCTACGTGACATGACAACTTTCGTTAGCGATGCGCTCATCCGAAAATAGCTCACAGAGCGTGTGGGGTACAGCGGGAAGCACCTTTGAGTCCACAGGCTGTCCTGGGGGTGTATGCCACCCGTTTGATTTGCATTATTCATCCACCTCTGGTGGAGAGGAGCCGATTGTTTGAATCATCGTTGCGACGGCGTTGGGTATGTGAAGACAGACTCTTTAATGAGTGAATGAAATCTGCTGTCTGATCTAACGACTACTAAGAAAGTTCGAGTGGCTCTGGAGATAGTTCAGTTTTTACAGCCGTTAACCATGCACTTTCGTGCGCCGGTTTTGGTTGATGTCTTTTGGTGCCTCATTTAGATAAAAGAGCAGGAAGAAGATTGGGATATTGAAAAGAAATTCAAGTGGAAGATGGAGAATTCATATAGAATGGTGTTAGGGGAATAATAAGTGGACGCACGAGCGCCACTGTTCTCGACATTCAGCCATATCACTCAGTGTCTCTAACCATCGGTGACCATCATCCCGAGGTCCCCAGCCAGGAGGTCTAACGGGGCCTATGTGATCTAGTCTCCTGGTTATGGTCATGCCAGGTCTTGGCTTGACCGCCCTTGATCCTTTTCCAACCGCTACCTGCCTCGGCAAGCATCACTCGCCGTGGCAACCTATCTGGTGACATGCGCAAAACATGCCCCAACCAACGTAATATATGGAGGTCGACCACTTGATCCAGTGGACGACCGCGACTGCCTAAACCTATACGCCTAACCTCAGCATTACTCGTCCGGTTTCCCCACCAGACTCGTGCAATGCCACGTAGACAGCGGTGTTCGAACACCGACAATCTATTTTTACCCTCTTCCTGTAGTGGCCAAGTCTCTGCACTGTAGAACAGTACTGGCCGAACTGCTGCAGTATACACTCGACCCTTCAAAGACAGCCAAATGTCGCGACGGCGCCACAGATGTCTCAAGTTGGCAAATGCCAGCCGAGCCATTTGTATACGCGCCGACACTTCATCTGTGATGCGTCCACCATGTGAGATACAGCTGTCCAGATACCAAAATTTGTCTACTTTCTCTGCTACTTCCCCAGTCAGGATGAGACCGAGTGCTGGACCAACCCAATCTTGTAGCAACATTTTACACTTTGAAAGTGTCAAACGCTGCAGATACCCCGTTGAACCACACCGCCATGAAAAATTCATAATTCCCATGGAGCCAGCTAACGCAAAATAGGATAGTAGAGGATGAATGATTGGACGTGTAAGTCTAGGTTTATGCCGAATGCCTAGTCCGATCATCATCAAGTTACCTTTTTTTAAAGAGATGAGATTGTTCATACTGCTTATTGACCTTGTTGATTGCGATTTAACTAAGTACATGAAGGGTCATGAATACCATGGTCTAACCACAACTGTGATCAACTGATGAACGTTTCAGAAATCCCATCGAAGTCAAACGACTGACAGTGTACGAGATAACAAGCGTTCTGGAAAAAGTAAATCAATTACCTTCCTGTCTCTGAATCCAATTCGCTTCTTCTTCGAATCAACTTCAGACTCGTCAACATCATTATCGTCTTCAGAAGAATTATCTGATGCATCCTCCTGGGATGCTTCTTTGGTCTGACACTCAACAGTCATACATCCATTCTTTGCCTTGTCCTGAAACCGAATAAATTGACATAGAAACTGAAAACGCATCTTACCTTGCGCTTTTTTTGCTCTTCCGCTATGTAATTTGCTTCCCAATTGTCCAACAA